TTGTGCCCTGCTCGGCCCCTGGGTGCCGGCTGCCTGTGTCAGTTTGGGCTCAGGTTTTGGCAGGACTGGTTTTGTGCTTGATCCCTAAAGTGAACTGACGCAGTCTGTGGTCGTGGATCAGACGCTGGGGAAGTGGTGGCTGGCGGCGACAGGAGGAGGAAGTGGGGTCACCCGTTTCGGCAGCAGTGTACCCTTTGGTCTGCTTAGCTGTCTGTCAGCTGGGGCTGACAGGGATTGCGGTGGGACTGGCGCAGCCCCGCAGCACACGTGGCTCGAGCAGAGAAGCTAGCGCAGGCGCTGGAGGCAGCAGGGAGTTGTGCTGAGGGGGAGGCTTTGCTGCTTTGGGCTGGGGCAGCTCATCAAGGGTTCCGCTCGCTCTGTCTCCCCTACTGCACAGGGCAGGCATTCGGGGAGCCTCGTTGTCACCTGCTCCTTGCTTGCCAGCACCCAGCCGGCTGCGTGCGTGTCTTGACATGAGAGTCTCAAAGCTCAACTCCCTCCAGAGTGTAACAGGCGCAGAAGCCATAGGAGATGAGCCTTTTGCCCTGGCTGCTTTCCACAAAGGAAGCTTTCCTGCTGTCTTACCACTCAGAGGAGCAAAGACCATCTGCCCCCAGAGGGAAGGTGTTGTTGACGGAAGCACAGCAAGACTCTGGGCTGGGAACCACCCTGCCCCTGCCAGGGCCCTAACCTACCAAAGGGGTTTTTGGCTGGGAAAGTGTTGGGCAGGGATTTCCCAGAACTGCATTGCGTTACCTGCTTCCCCTCCTCCTGTCCTTCCTACAGTGGGCAGAGCTCCAGCTGCCGGCTCCTTGTGCTCCTAAGGGAAACAGTTGTCAGAGCATCTCTAACTGTGCCAGCATCCAAGGAAATGTGTCTTCCCTGCATAGCCCAGGCAGTCACCCTTGTCACTGACACAGGAGGTCACACATGACACACGGATTAGGAGCGCTGCTGGCTGAGCTGACTGATGTCTGGGAACCTGGTCTCCTTGGGTATTCATAGGAATAAAAGGGATTGCTGCTGCTGTGGCTTTTTCCCAAGTAAAATGTATTTTCCATAATGTTTTCCATGGGGGAAGCTGGATTGGTTGCACTCATCTGAGCAATGTCTTTTCATGTCCCAGAACAGAGGCACAGTCCGCTGGAGCGGGGAGGTGCCTGCTGCTGCTAGCTGCCATGGAGCCCACGGACAGGCTCTTAAGATGCTGGTCTTCATGACAGCACAGCCAGGAATACTATTTGGAACCCTAAAACCCTGGGGCTTTTTGTAAATCTAATTTCTGAGTGTTAGGACTCAAGCACACCAACTTAAACTCACGGGGTGCTTGTCAGGCTGTTCTGTCCGCTGCCCACACCTCCGTCTCAAGTGCAAACTTCCCTTTTTCCTTTTTTGTTTTCCTCCCTTGCATAAAAGTCAGAACCTCTTTTGGGAAAAGCGGTTCCACGAGAAGAATATTGCTCTGCTTCAGAGGTAGATCTTTTATCTGTCATGGACCTTGTAGTTCTTGGGGACCTTTCTTTCACAGGTGGCGCAACTGGAGGTCCAGTTTTTGGAGCTCTCTTTCCCCCACAGGAGGTCTGGGCTTCCTGCATCAATTCAGACAGAAATTTAACCACAGAGCACAAAAAGCTTTACTGACTTGTTCTTCATACACACGGGAAATGCAGGTTTTAACCACAGAAATACCAGCATTACTTCGTTTAGAATATTACAGCTAAAGCGTAAGAAGTGTTAGAGGACATGAACACTCTGGTTGACCGTTTTAATGGGTTTACTGTTCATTCCCTACTACCACATGGCACAGGAATGAGTCACTAGGGAATTCCTCTGTCTCTGTACTGCCTTATGCAGGGAAGGCGAGGGAGAACACGCCTATGCCTTGGCCTGCACTCCTGTGAGCCAGCTGGTGCTTCCGCTCACGCACCCTACGGCCTGGAGACAAAAGGCCTTTGCCGGGACGATGAAATATCAGCGGTTGTATGCACTAGAACAAATTCACCTGTCAAGGAAGTCTGGAAATGCTGACATTGCTACATTTTAAACAGTAGAGAGCAGACCTGGCCACTACGCTAAAACACCGGAGAGCTGAAATGCTACTTTCACATGGTCACATGACCAGAATCAGATGTCAAAAATTCATTTAATGGAAGAATCCACAATCTCCTGATAATCTTGTCTTCCTAAATTCTTCCAGGACAGTTTATAACACGCAAGGAACAAAACACTAACCAAAATAACCGCTCCCCCGACGAGATCATAAGCACCCGGGAAGATCCGCAACACGACGAGCTGCAGGACCATGGCGATGACTATCTCCAGGTGCTGTACAGTGCTGACCAAAGCGGGGTGGAACTTGCTCAGGGCGTAGTAGACCCCCAGGAAAGCTGCTGTGGAGCACAGGCAGATGGCAAGGAGATAGCTCCAGGTTTCTCCATCCAGTGGGACGATCGGCTCCTGAAGTAAGAACATGGTGGAGGCTCCCCACACCGTTCCCGTCCAACTAAAGGTGAATAGTGCCGTCCACATGCTGACGCTATCTTTGATTGACCTGTAGACTATCATGGAGAGAGCAGTGGTCAAACCTGCCATAACGGTCATGGTATAGCCAAAAGCTTCCTTCCAGGTGGTCAGCAAAGAGTTTTCTTCCTTAACAATGTTCGGGATCATGACCAGGCAAACACCAAACACGCTGCCAACTACAGTAATTATGTCTATGTAAGCCATTCCTTCGTCTATGAGTAAAAAAGCCAAAATGGCACTGAACACTGTAGTGGTAGCCCTCCACATAACGGTCCCATTGCTGGGGGGAACTATAGAGAAGGAGGTATAAGCACAGGTAATAGAGATAACATTGCAGACCCCATAGAAGAAGAGCCGGAGCCTGTAGCCTTTGGGACCAAAGGGGGGCTCATGGTAATAACACACAACAGTAATGGACAGCACCTGTAAGACTGAACGGATGAAAATTAACTCTAGGGATGGCACTTTGGAACGATCAGAAATTAATCTTGTAATTAGAGCCACACATCCGTGAGCCACGGCAGAGCCAAAAAGCACTACCCACGTTTTCCTCGACTGCAGTATATTTCCTTCAGGAAAAGGCTGGGATTGCCCGATCTCATCAGGTTTTGGCAGTTGTGCTGGCTGAGGCTTGGTGTCTATCGTACCAAAAAAGGTTCTTTCTCTCTTTTTCCCATCATTCATTAGTCTTTTCTTAGGATTATCCTCCATAAATACTCCAATATCTTCATTATCCTCATATCCCTCTTCTCCTGGCTGGAGATAATGAGAAGTATATTTCACTGTTACTGTGCTGGGATGAATTTTCACTCGCTTTTTGACCGGGTGTTGTTGGGAAGCCGTATCCATTTCCTCAGAGAAACATCATGGTTTCAAGAAAAAAAAGCAGAGAAGCAGTTGTTTAATGAATAGTGAGAGATTCATTAGTATGTAAATGCTGTCAGTGTTTATGAGCTATATTTATCTTCCAATTTACTGCTAAATACTTCTGATAGTCAGGCCATGTGGATCTCCTTAAGAGCCCAGCATGGAACTTCGAGTCCCTAGTTTTTTAAAATGACATCTATTCTCACTATGTATAGTATGTATAAGGCGTTCTAGTATATTCTTATTCTAATGAGGGAGATTTCTTGGTAAGCTTTTTGGACAGTAAATACCCTGTAATTATGAATTACACTTATTAATTGCTCACTAATATTACAAGATGACCGAAGAAATGTGGCTGGAGGGATGATCACCTTGTTTCTAAACTGTCAGGGAATAAGGGAGGATCCCTCAGCAAGTCAGCATAGTTAGCATATGAATAAACAGCACATTCTTGAACAACACTTGGACAATGTTAAAAATTCCATCTTCTCACATCCTTTTTTCTTCAAATCTGATTTTTTTTTTAAATGGGGAAAATTTAGAAGAGCTGATCCAGACTAACCAGATCTTCCTGTGGCAGACATTTAAAACCCACAGCAACAAAACCACCACCCTTCTGTCTCCTCCTGACGGCCTGCTTCCCGCCACGCAAGCGGTACGAGCTGTCCCCTTGGTGCCCGCTTTGTGCACACCACCACGACACACGCAGCAACACGTGTGGCTCCGCATGTGTCACAAGGGTGGCATCAGGCTCCCAAAACACACGAGCAATCTCTTCTCGCGCCCGGCCTTCACCAGCACAAATGCCGCTTGGTCTCGGCTGTCGCTGACGTGTGCAGCCTGTCCACAGGGAGCCCTTAATTCCCTCCAGCTCTCCGCTGAGCGTGCTAGCGCTGTCCCCAGGCCCAGTGTGACAGCGCTGGGTCAGTTTAGTTCAGGCACAGGGCTGTCACTGAGATGCCTTTGTTCCTGCAGCACCCTCCACCATCTACACAAACAGCCCTCCCAAATGAAGTGGCAGCAGGAGCAATGCAACCATCCCTGCCTTCGATGTGCCCCAGCAAATAAACACATGCAGACCTTACCTGCGACTGGGAGATTTAATCCCAAGCCAGAAGGGGAAAACACCTCTTGGTTATCTACATCTTTGTCCGGGTGTCTAAACAGAAACGGTAGATGCTCTCCGATACCAAACAGGAAAGGTTACAATCATCTCGGCTGAAAAAGTAACACACAAAGGAGAGATGGAATGTTCTGCTTGTGTTCTGAAGTGGGAAATTTGAGCAGCGTGAGGATGCTTTTGAGGCCATGCTCCTAGGGAACTGGCAACACTGGTACATCATTATGAAAAAAACCACCACAAAACCCAAAAAACTTTAGATGGAGAGGAAGCAATCACCATCATCTTGCCAAAACCACTCCTCAGGCGTCTCGTAATTAGCGATGGAACTACTCCAAAGAACAAGCTGTGGTTTTGTGAGCCTAAGGCTCTAACCTTGTAACAACAAGGAAACTCACCAGCCCATGCCGGCTGTCCTGCCTCAGCAGCGCCGCAGAGGAGAGGATGCGCAGGAGGACCCATCCTCCCGATCCAGTCATCCATCCCCAGGAGCAGAGCCCAGCCCAGCAGGCAGCAGCAGTTTGGCCTCTGGGGTATCAGCAGATGGATGGGTACGGACAACCCTGCAGACCCCAAGCACCAGAGCAGGTGGCTCCTGACGGTGCCAGACCACAGCCGGGCAGACAGTGGGGCTGAACAGCACGATGGCGGTTTGCAAGGAGACCACCGATCAAAAAGCACTGTAAAAGTGGGTGCAACAGCCCTTCACAGGAATACTAAAAAAATACCAAGGTCAGGTTCAGCTTCTGCATTTTCCCCATCCATCATCTGTGGCAGCCAAGCACCGCCTGTGTCTCCTGGCAAAACCAATTTACGTAAGAATGGGACATTCTTCCTTTTTCCTCACAGGCTGTTCCTTGAACCCCCTGCTACACCCCAGCTAAGCTGTAGCCTACTTTTCACAGGCCGTGAACCCCTAGTCGGATGGTGATGAATGGGAGTGGGAAAGGGGCAGGCACAGAGCCCCAGCTCCGGAGGAAGGCAACAGCACCAGCTTGGACCCGCAGAGAGAGGTACCCTGGGGCACCAACAAAGTGCAGACGGTGGAGGAGTACTGCAGAGTGCCCAGTCGTGTTCAGTTTAAGCACTGCAAGAACAGGGGAAATGCAAAGGGGATTTTTTAGCGGGGTAGCGGCTGCACTCGTGGGCCACTCAACCAACCATCAAACATCTACCAGAAATCTTCCCCATTCTCACCTCCTACTTGGCACTTTTTCTTCAGGTAAGTTGTTAATTTCAGATTCATTTAATATGCAAATGCAGAATACACAAAATGAGTCCAGGAAGGCAGTGATTTTCACAAGCACAGTTTTTCTTACCTAGCATTTTTATTGTTATAAATTCACCATTCCACCTTGCTGTCCCCACATCTTAAAAAACATTCAGGTCTTGATTTGTACGGATCGGCAGTAAAGTAAGTGGGAGGAAAAGAAAACAAAAGGTGCACAAATTAGAGTGACAGTGGAACTAGCCTGTATAAACTCAGTCATTTCCTTAAGAAACTGCTGAGTACACACTGCAACTATTGGTTCATGAAAACAAATTAACGTTTTTTACCATCAGCATACAGTGGGTCTGAGCTCCGATTACGTTTTCTTTCAAGGGTATAGAAAAGAGACAAAATGCAGTTGCGAATTTAGTACTGGACATGTGTAGTGTATTCAGAGAGATCTCTGGAGGAAAACAATAGCTCAAAATGGCTGTGCTATACTGGCGCTGAATTCCCTCCAGCATTCTTCAGCATTAGAATGCTAACAGTTGGAAGGTCTGGGAAGTGGAAGGGCAAACACCGGAGAAGGCAGGAGACAGAAGCAAGGACAAAAAATAACAGGAGTGCTTAACCCAAAATTTAATTTGCTTTACTCAGTTTTGAGCGTATGTCAACTGTTACGCCAGCTCTCACACAGTACATTTATTTGTACTGCGTGGTGACCTTGCTTTTCTTAACCAGAGGGAATTTCAATGGAGACTGAGATGAGTGCATATCCCAAATACATTATGTTTGTCCCAGACCCAAATTTAAAATAAATGGAAATCAGCACACCCTATGCAGAAAGCTTGCTACTTCTCTTTCTGCTGTGCCTTTTGTGGAGATCACATAAAGTTTACATTTTTCTTTATATCTGGAAACATAAAATGATTTGCATTTCTATGAAGAACATACTGGATTCTAAATCAACTGTAATATGAGGCTGAAGATGAAGCACTATGCAAAATTCTCATGCTATATAACAACAAAACAACCCCCCACATTCCCAATTCAATCGACAACCTAGGACACCCATTTAAATTACCAGCTCATGGAAATCACTGACTGCCAAAGTGTGAACCCCATTTTCCCATGGGTGAGCAAATAATCACGATGATTCAATAAATGTCACAATTCATTAACAGAATGCACATCATGTTTTCTTTTAAAAGAAAAAACCCCAAATACTCCCCTCCTCCTCCCCAGTCACTACACATAAGCCAGGTAGAAAGAGGGGATTATATGCCATTTGACTACTGGGGGGTTGGAGTCCGAGACCTCCTTGCCCTGCCTGAAGGAATTAAGGCTTTGAGGTCTGACTGGTGATTCTAACCACCAATTTTCAATAATCTCCCAGTAAAATACTCTTATCTTCTGCCAGATCGGTCAGAATCAGTCAGCCGACTGAAATGCTATTACGAAAGATTCGCAGACACGGCAATTACAGTCCTTACGGAGGTGGAAACGCAAAGTCGGTTACCCGCGTGCTCTGAAAGGCAGGCCTCGCAGGGATGTTCCTCTGCCTCTTCTGTGGCAAATCCCCTGAATCCTGACCTGGTGAGACTGAGATTACCAGAGGGCTGTGAGCAAGCTCTGCAGGGTAACTACAGACTATCAGTTTTTCCTGAGTATTACCTGTACGAAAGACCCGCTCCACCCCTACAAACTCACATAACTGACGGAGCGTCTGCCACCTTCACTAACCAGTGCACAGCGCACCGACTCCTCACAATGCTGGTTTTTCTTTTGATTCCTTACCAGGTGTAGGAAAACCTCCTGAGTTCCTGTTTCAGCACTCACCTTAACCTTGCTGGAGATTCTTCCGTGCTTGATAGTTCAAGCAAACGCACATGCCAAGGGACCTACGCTCGTGATGTTTGACTAGTGTAACACAAGGTGAACCCGGGGGGGAGAAAAGGCAAGCAAGACAAGGTGCACAGCAGGCAATTAAGTGCTGGTATCACTGAAACAGCCTACGTTTAGGCTATGTTTTTAAACTATTTGATAAGGTGCACGCTGAAAAATCAGAGCACCTTTATCTTTTTAGCCAGATGGTCTGACTCTATCAATCAATTTTATTAAAAATACATGCAAAGAAACTCGTCTTTATTCAAATTTAATGAATAGTAAAAAGGTATTTAAGAAAATTAAAGAGCAATTATATGAAACGAGCTTTTAGTACTTAATCACAAGAGCTAACAACATACACAAACCAACAAACCGGTATCCCACATCTTCAGATTAATCGAGTAACGTCAACAGCACTGCCTAAGGGAAAAGCTAGTACACCCGTCACAGAATTCAAACACAAATCCTACACTTCGGCCCCACAAATTGTCAGTACGTTCCTGATAATAGAACTACCGAAAAACAACCTGTATTTGTGCTACGCTGCTAAAGCTGCCACATGCGATTTCAATGGGATTATATGTGACACCTCCAATTTCCCTTGCCTTCACTAACCTATTCTCTTGCTGTGTTAGGGCTCCAACTGTGTCCGGTTCAATGAAAAAAACACTCTAATTGACATTCATGTCTTGCCTGCTGCAACTACTACCCCTGCAGCAGCAATACTCGCAGTAAGTAATTTCGGAAAAAGAGCGGCTTTGCCTGCAAACTTCCCATTCTA